GACCATGAAGCTGTTCTCGCCAATTCGGGATGAGCTCGTTGTGTTCGAAGGACTACTCTTTCGAAGCGACAGAATCGTCATTCCAAAGACATGGCGCAAGAGAGTCTTGGAACGGGTTCATGACGGACACCTGGGAATTTCTAGCTGTCTGAAACGAGCACGAGAATCAATCTACTGGCCGGGCATGTCGGAAGATATCAAACGCCTAGTGTTTTCCTGCCCCATCTGCCAGTCCAAACAGAAGAAACCACCGAGCGAACCTCTGATGATGAAAGAAGTGCCCAAGCTCCCATGGGAAAGGGTTGCTATTGGCCTGTTTGACTTCAATGGGAAGACAAACATAGCCATCGTGGACAGCTACTCTGGCTTCATTGACTACAGTGAGTTACGAAATGCCTCATCAAGTGAAGTCATCATGGTTTTTAACTCACAGCATCCCAAGAATTCTGGAATCTGACAACGGAGCATGCTTCGTTGCACGCGAATTCCAAGATTTCAAGAGCAAGTGGGGATTTGACCACGTTACCTCCAGCCCGAAGTATCCGAAATCCAACGGCTTGGCTGAACGTGTCGTGCAAGTTGTCAAGAACATACTGAAGAAGTGTACAGAAGACGGAATTGATGTACAACTAGCTCTCCTAAACTTACGGAATGTTCCACGCGATGGAGAATTGGGATCGCCAACACAGCGACTGTTCAGTCGGCGTACAAGAACCACCATTCCACTCAGTGAAACGTTATTATTCCCCAACATTGTGGAGAACGTACAACAGAAAATGACCGCCCAGCGACAAAAGCAAAAACATTACGCTGACCAGCATGCGAAGGAGCACCTGGGATGAGAGCCGGTGATAAAGTTCGAATGTGGGAAGACAATAGCCACTGGACTCCCGGAGTTATCGTAAAGAGTGCATCCACGCCTAGGTCATACTGGGTTCGAACAAGAAGTGGTCAATATCGACGCAACACTTCATTTATTCGTCCAACACAAGCAAGATGGGAAATTCCACGAAGATGCGTTTCGAGCCCAACACAAGACCCGAAGGCCTCAAGTGGAACAACTCTACCAGAGCAGAACCAACCGGCGCATACCACCGCAAGATCAGGTCGTACAGTCAAGCCAGTTGTACGAATGAACTTGTAACAAAAAAAGGGCGATGTGATGAGAGCATCCGCATCGCGAGATGCATCATCGAAGATTCACGCGCCACCCCGATGTTCGGGAGGCTTCACGTTCAACCTGTTCAACTAAGGACATTGAGGCACCCTAGTTCAACCATGCAACCTTTCCTTTACTTAATTAAACTGATTTGCACGACACCTTAGTCGTCACAGACCAAACTTTGACCCGGTGATTGCAATAAGATGTAATTGCAGGCCTCAAACGACTTAAGTTGGCTCGGTGTAAACAGCAGATATATACAAGATGTTGATCATAGGTACCAGTGGCCATCACCGACTTGTTACGCTTGGTCTGTTCCCGCTTCCGATTTTCAGTATGGACGTCGATCATCACCGCTGCCTTCTACACGTTTGCAGCATGCACGAACGACGTTTCGACCGAAAATAGTTAGAAGAATCTCGTCATGGTTTTGGCGTCCATTCTGCGGCGTTCACGCGAATGAATCGCCGCACGTCAAATATTTTACGCAATGTTTAGCGGCGTAACCAACCTTGATAATTTCGCTCAGGTGATTAAAGTGGTAAGACATTGCTATGAGGACGTAAAATCGACAATTCCAACGCGAAAAGAAGTATGCAGACTCACACAGACGCCGGCAACGTGACATTCCAATGGTTTGTTGACGCGGGACGCGGTGCTTGCCCGCGCTCCCTTGTGCATCCGTTTGAACTGTCGTCTGCTCTTTATAAACTTGTCTGCTTTTGTCGTCGGCTCGTTCAAACGACAGCGGCCCGTAAACCAAACGTTGACCCGGTAATTGCGATAAGAAGTAAGTGCAGGCCTCAAAACACTTTTGAAGGTTGGTTGGGGTAAGTAGGCTAAGTGTAAACAGTAGATACAAGAAGATGTTGATCATTGTTACCAGTGGCCGTCACCGACTTGTAATGCCCGATTCTACTTGCGGTTTTTAGTATCGACGTCCACCATCTCAGCTACGGTCCACGCTTTTGCAGCCCGAGCGACTTCGCCACTGAAAATAGCGAGAGGAATCTCATCATGGGAGTCAGGCATTGGCGCCCATTCTGCGGCGTCCACGTGAAATGAATCGCCGCATGTCACATTATTCACGCAAAGTTTTGCGGTGTAACGAGCCTCGTTAATTTTGCTGAAGCCGCTCAAGTAGTCAAACATTGTTAGGAGGATGTTGAATCAACAATTCCAACGCGAAAAAGAGCACGGGGACTCACACCGACGCCGACAACGACGCAACTCAATGGTTTATTTATGGGCGGCGGCGAGCTCCTTGCCCACCGTCCACCGCGCATGCGCGGCGCCAGTGGCGTCCGCTAGGGGCGCTCCGGTTTGTTTGTAAACAAACCGGAGCGTAAACAAACCGGTTTGTAAACCAACCGGTGTTCTGCGAACCAGAACATACAGAGTGAAGTACCAGGAAATGGATACAGTGTGCACTGCTTGTGGAGAGGAGGACGAGACGGCTGAGCACTTGATACTCTACTGTAAAGGGCTTCACCCTATGACTACCGAAGACAACATAGATTTAATAAAGTCATTGGGTTTTAGAGACAGCAAAGGGAGAGTGGATTTCAAGACTGTAGAGATTACCAAGCAAAGATTAAGTGAATGGTGGCAGAAATCGAGAGAAAACTAGGTATTTTCTTATTCACTGATGGCAAGGGGGTTTCATAGCCTCACTTTCTTTGCACTGCGGAGTGAATATAGATTTCACATTTAAATATTCTAAGCTTAAATGGTAAAACAAAATGGCTAGGTGGCGTAAGCTACCGCCCTATCCAAAGGGCTCAGCCGTATTCATCCATCCATCCTTCCAAACATGAGTTGGTGTATAGAACTGTTTATTCCTAGCAGCGTTTCAAACCTTTTCGAAAGCCTCTCATAACACTTCAAAAGTGGCCCTGCTGTTGTCTGCAATCGAACATTCTCCTTGTAGTAACTCTTTCAGTGTCTCCTGAACTGTAGCATAGTTTTCAGCGAACCTTTTCATTGACTTCACTCCGACAGTCTACCTTGTTGGGCAAAGCGGAAGAAGGTTATTTGGCGTTGATTCGGCTTCTTCCGCTGCCTCGCTGACTAGAGGAATTACAATAGATATGAATAAATAGCTTGGCGGTTATTCGAACTCGGAGTGGTGGGGCTCCAGCCCCATCCTGAAAAATCTTAAAAGGGGGGGGGGGAGGGGGGGTCTGCCCCCCCCCCCCCCCTTCCCCGGTTTTGGAGTCCCTGTAACAAGTGCCCGATAAACACTGCCCTGCAGAGAAAATAATAGAAAGAGACGCCTTTCATACCCCACGTACTTTGTTCTTTACGTTTTGGTTGTTTTTAACTGTTCGTAAAGATGCAAGACGGGGTCATTTTTATGTAGTGACAAGACTGGCATATTAGCAATATATAAGCGTCACCGGAACGCTGGCGAGCCCTGAACATGCTCTATATTTCTTTCGATTGTTATTTTGCTTAGAAATAAGCTCGTTTTTACACACCTGCTGTGGAACAGAAGTTTGAACTTGAAATATAGCGAAATTAAACATAGTCCATTGATGAAAAAAAAAAAAAAAAGAACGTAAAGTAAAGCAAGTGCGCTTTTACAATGTTTATAATGGTACATACTATTCGGTACGACCCAAACAACAAAAATACTCCATGTTATTTTCCGGCGAAGAGACAAAATGCACGCTTGTTTTCCCATAGGTATGCACAGGAGCACCGCAAAAGTAGACTGGTTGCTGTCTGCTTGAATTCGGCTCATAGACACTAGCGCCAGTTGAACCTATAGGTGGTATTCACTGAGCGTGCAGGTTCGATTTTGCCAGGGAGCGCCACCGTCGATCCGCCATCTTCGAGGTCGCGGTTTGACTGGCTTGGGTACGCGGTCGTCCGCTGCTAGTGTGTGCTAATTTCATATCGTTGAAGCTTCGTTGAACAGAAGAGAGAAGAAAAGTTGATCTCGGGGGCGGGCCGTTTTCCTTGTTGCCGCCGAGTACCGTGTGTAAAGACTGAACCGCATGTAAGCAATTTGGCGAGCGACGGGACGAGACGAGCGACAGCGAAGCGGGTCGCCGTCGCTTGTCTTCCCGCTCGCCAAATCGCTTACATGCGGTTTTTAAATCGCTTGGGCTAATGAAAAATACGCCGCATTTTTCATAAGCTGCGCACTCTGTGAACCGCACGGTATGTTTCTGCACAGGAACGAATACCGAAGGCACGACGTATGTACGACACAGCGGCGATGGAGCAACACGGTTGCACGGCCGTAGTACAAAAAATCCGCTAGAGAAAAACAATAAAGAAACTAGCAAAAGAAAACAAAGAAATCACACCGTGGTACAAAAGCACCAAAGTAGAAAAATTTGTTCTTGCAAGAGCTACCGCCGTCGGCACGGCGGGCGACACGGAGCGCTTCATGAAGCCGACGGAGCAACGCGGCCGCGGTAAACGAGTCCGATAGCGACAAAAACGAACTAAAGCACACAGAAAATACTCCCACGGCGCTTCAAAAGCACCAAAGTATAAGAATAACCCCTAGTTTCGGTCAAAAAGACCTTTTAAAGTTGTAAAATACTGCTAAACCACGCTCAAAAGGTCCGGCCAGATGGCATTTGCGCTAGCAAGAGACCTCGAAGATGGCGACCGTGGTGGGCGATGCCAGCGAACCTAGCGAGTGACGTCAAGTGAATGTCACCTATACGTACATTATAATAACTGTATGACAAATACATACCACAATATTAGCTATTAATATAATTTGTAATATATAGAATGCACTAGAACCAAGTTTCTAAATTTTATTGAACTTTTTACATATTTACCAAATTTATTTATTGCAAATGTATTCATTACCACTCCGCCAGTGCACGTAAGTGCAAGTGACCACCCCTTCATTGTCTACCGTCCTTTTGTGTCCCAATATCTTCTCCTTCTCTTTTTTTTTTTTTTTTCGGAAATAGTTTTCGGTGCTTAAAATACTTCAGAAGAATGCAGTCGAGCCGGCGAACTACGAGGAACGCTTTCGCCGTAGAGAAAAATGGCTGCTGCTGCTGCGAGACGTAGTGCGATAGCGGCCCACTGGATGGCACCAGTGCGGCGGCGCCCGCATTTCGGCATTGACAGCGGCGGCGAGCAGCGGCAGCAGCTAGCAGGAGCGGACGGCCGGTGCCGAGGGGAAGAGGAAAGCCGGCGGCCAGTCATCGAGCGGTAGAGCCGGTGAGCAGGGAGCGAGATCGCGAGCCAGCGTAGAGCTGCCCTTGTTTTGCTGACCCCGTGCCTGGAAAGCCGCCGGCGTCGCCACCATGGCCGTCAACGAGACCGACAAGACGCAGGTTTCCGAGATGGTGAACGACTTCCTGCGCTACCAGCTCAACCGGCGGGACCTGCAGTGGACTACATGCCCGCCATTGCCCCGGCCCAGCAAAGTGGTCCTCGTTCTCCGAACGCTGGGCGACGAATTCCTGGCCAAGTACCGCGACGAGTTCGTCCAGATGTGCGGCCGGCTCGACCTCACTCCCTCGGTCGCCCAGACCGCCTTCCTGGACGTGCTCAACGAGCTTTTCAGCGAGGGGATTACCTGGTCCCGAGTGGTGGGCGCCTTCGCTTTCAGCTTCGAGCTGTCCGCGCACTGCGTCGAGAAGAACTGGTCCGACCTGGTGGACGGCATTGCGTCCTGGTTGTCTTCTTACGTGTGCACGAGGCTTCTGCCCTGGATACAGGACCACGGAGGATGGGTAAGCGATCCTCCTACCCGCATTCCTTCCCCGCGCGCGAGCGCCGCCTTCCACGACGCCGGGTTTCGGCGTGGCGGCCGGCGTTTTTCATTGAGCCAGTTTCTGCTGCCGCGTCCAACGGTCTCGCTCCCCCTCAATGGGGGGCTGTCGTGTCGCTCGCTGCCGCCGCTTCCGGCTCGCTCGGCTTATCTCGGGGACGCGAACTCCCCCCACTCCCTCAAGCCGGCCCCAGTTTGCTCGCATACCGAGGTCTGGGCGGACGCCGAACCCCCGCAAGCTCCAAAGAGCGGGGCACGGTCTACTCGTCGAAGCGGTTGTGACGCCGCGAGGACGCTGATCGAGCCGAAACCTTTGGAAAAAATCAAAACAGCCGAATGTAGCGTGCATCTCGTTGTACCTTCCGGTTCATTCATTCCTAGAGACTAAAAACGTGGCAGGATTCGAACTAAAAGTAACGTTCAACCGTGGACTGTATCCTGTACTGAAGGTCGCCCGTGTATTTTTCTTCTGGAGCTCCGCCGTTTTGCGGTGCATGAGCGCTTGGTTTGGCGAGCGGCGTCTTCGAGCTCGCGTTGCTTCGTCGGCACGGCCTTGCGATTTGCCCAGTTTCTCGCCGTGGCGTCCGTGAGCAAACCAGTTGCTGGGAAATGGGTCGATTAGCCAGCGATGCCGCCGGCTTAATGGTAATTCTGGGGCCGCGATCAGGATCTAGCTTTGGCACGAGCTTGGAGAGCGAGCCGCATGCGGGGACTCAGCTCCGCTGCGTAGTAACCGCGCGGGCCTGCGTAGCGTTGCTCGCAACAAAACTTACGCTTCTTTGAAGCTTGTTTACTGGCTGCACGGCCATCCGTAGACAATTTAGAAACATAAGAAAAAAAAAAAAAGTTCGCGTTATCGCCATTACGGAGGCACGTGTCAGTACTTATTCATGCTGATAATAGGATGTTCCTTAGTTTCGGATAGGTGAACTTCGATACTCGGTTCTTTTGCATCAAAACGAAAGCACGGCTCTGGCTGTTATAGTGGAACTTACACACCGGGGTGTCTACGGGGAAATGTAGAATGAATGCGCAAGTTCGTTTTACTTTAAAATATTAGATCGCTGGGCTAGATGGTGACTATGTGGCACAAGGAAAAAAAGCGGCCAAATATACGGGACATTTAAGACTAATTTCTGTTTCTGTAGGTGTTTGGGGTGGTCGAGGAAAAGAGAAGCTGTATCTGTTCACGGCTATGGTCAGTTTGATATGGTTGCACACAGTCAGTGACGGTGTGGTATTTTTCAATTTATCCAAGTTTAGACATCTCATTCTGAAAAGATCCACTATCGATCCATCTATCCGACAAGCGCGCATGTCTAACCAAAGTACAAGTGACCACGCGATGAACTAGGTGAACTCGCTCGATTGGGAATCGAGCTGATCAAAATTGCGCTGGTGGTTTGTTTTTAGCCAACCCACTCTGGCACATGTTATTTTTGTACGTGTGTTCGTTTTTTTGTTGTTTTTTTTTCGTTTGTTCGTGCGGACTTTGCTAAAGCGGAACACTAAACTGCGACTTCTCTTCGTTATCCGAGCATGCCCACCTGCACTTTCGTAAATGAAAAAAAGAAAATGCTGCGTCAATTTATTGAAATATTGTTTCAAAACAGTCGGGATCTGTCGCTTGCCAAAATCTGCTCGTTCGCTCAGATTCGAGTCCGAACGCAGTTGATTCTGGGGGCCTATTGCGAACGAAAGAGGTGTTGCCAGTTTCATTATCTGTAGGCAGCGCCAACTCGACATCCTGCCATGTTTTGTTTTTCTATGGCTGCTTGCTTCTTCGAGTGCTCTCTCCTGACAACTGCGCTAGATTTTTTTTCAGTCGTGAAGTGGTCATTAATTTATTGTACGCGGCCGTCTAGTACAGCCTTTTGATTTGCATTTTTATTTGTCTCCGTTTCGCTTACCTTCGTGAGCCAATTACACTGATGTCAACGTTGCACAAAATAGTTGACGCCAAGTGTAGTGCTGTAGTTTCGTGGTTTAGACAAGTTCGTTTCTTGTTTCGGCGCGGGTTCATTCCGTTCGAATCGTTGTTTTCGAGCTGCCATTTCGAGCTCCCGGCGTGCTCGGTTATCACTTAGTTGCGCAATACGAAACAGACGCTTCGCATGCGTTTTTAACCCACTGACTCGGCACTTTTTGCGTAAACAACAACTTTAACTTTTTCTTTTTTTCATTTTTTTTTTTTTTTTTGCTGCGGGTGTTGGTGGTTTTGTTGCTGAGTCTTGGACCGTTTCCCCACGCCGCGATAACACGCAGGGTCTTGAATCAGCCGGACTTTGTATATGCTGAGCCGACGATAGGAGTGTGCCATAGTCAGCCTTGACCGATCGTGGTGCAAGAGCAAGCACGCTCCGACATGCATGCATGCTTGCGGCTGTTTATTCCAATCTGTGCACGAGGACAGCGCATGGGTGCTTAATTCCGAATTGTATCGCTGCTGAGTCGTTCACGGTACGGCGGGAAGGAAGCGCGGCGCTAACGCCAACACGCGTCCGCTTCGGTGGCGCTGTCGGCACGGCGCAGGCACGGTGGTGCCCCATCCCGGTGTGGACGAACGCTGACTTGTTTGCAAACAACGTGGCGGTCGATGCGTGCGTATTTGTGAAAAGTGTTGTTCGACTACTATTCACCTTCCCAGCGCTAATCGCTCTGGCAAGATTGGCCGAGTCACTGCGACGTGGCCGCACGCGCGCGGCGTTTGATATTCCTGCTGCGCATGCCCTGAACGTTTTTCACAGCTTAGCAGACGAAGATCGCAGCGCGCAGAAGGCTATTATTGGAATGGTCTTTAGCAGCTGCCTTGATCGGCACGAAATCTGCGGGGGCTAGTTGAGCTTTTGTAGTACGTTTGAAACTTGGTCACGACCAGTCATGACGCTGGTTATTTGATGGGCGACATGTTATCGCCAAACGTCCGGATATCGCAGTGCGCTAGCCATTTCTCCCTCAATGAAACCCAGATATGAAATTCGTCCATTCGTAATAAGGCACCTCCTTAGTTTTGATGATTTAGAGCTTCCAGTAAGCTATCCGAGATTATTTACAGTAGTATCCGCCGGGGTACCTTACGACTTTTCTGTGATAATGTTGGTTCTGACCTATAAATCGAGTCTTCACACTGGTTTACGTTGTTGTACTCTTCGTTATGCCATCTCTTATTTCCATTGACGCGAAGAAGCTCGTAATTACGCAGAAACAGGGATGAAGATGATCTTGCCGAGTTAACTCTCAACGTGGACTTAGATCTAAGACCTCGCCAGACCGTTATTATTAGAGTCTTGAGAGCTTTATGTAGGGTTGCTGCGTCGGGCTCCCTATTTACTCTCTGCAACGAAATCGTGGAAATGGATGCCCTAAACAAAGCTATTCGACGTGTTTGAAAAAAAAAAGAAACATGGAAACGACAACACAGCGTCTACTTTATTTGTAACCGCCCACCGCGTCGTTTCTTGTTTACAATGTTACAATCCTCCAATCGTTTGTATACATTTCTGTAGCAATACATTATTGCATAAGTGATGAGCTCCATTGTTTCATTTCGGAGTGAAAGAAGGAGCATGCGGACACTCATCTCCATCTGCCTTTTGGGACTGTCTCTATTTTTGTCCCGAAAAAAAAAAAAAAGAAATAAAAATCATTGTTTATGTTGGTTTGTGTTTGCATCACGCATTACCTCGCGTGTTGCTGCTGGCTGCGTGCGGCTCTGGCAGTGTCTTGGAGGTGTACATGACCACGTAACAGCTGCTTCTCCGCGGTTCCCTGACAGGAGGGCACACTCTCCCCGCCTCCCTTCTTTTGACGGGTCGTTCAACTTACACACAGGGCCCCTGCACAGAGTCGGAAACTTTTTGAACTCGCGCAGGTGGTTTTTGGTGGCCTTTCTGAGGGCGCTATGTTTGTGTATCCAACGCTTGATTGTTTACTCACAAATATAGCGATTTTTGTGGTGTTTGCGTCGGTCGTTGCCTTGGCCAGAGTACCGGCGCGTGACAATGACTCCGCATATGGGAAAACAAAATGTTATTTTCTGTGAAGTTTCGCGTCGTGCTCAGTCTGTTGTCATATGGGAGAGACTGAGCGCGTCTCATGGGCACGAGTATACTGCTTGAGAGGCTTGGCAACAGCAGAACATGTTTGGGTAACTCGGTGCTTTAAGCACTTACTAAGCACGTATCATTGGCGATACTGATATTAACTTCTGTTTACTGTAGTAGAGGCTAAAAAATATATATTTATTTATTTATGCGCTCGCGTGTTGTGCCTGCAAGACACTTCGTCGTAACAGCACGAGTGAATATTTCGTCTTGTTTCTCCTCGTCCTCTACTGCACAGCTTTGTCTCTTGTTGTTTTCTTCGGTTGAGTTGATTACTCGGTTAAGTTCGCCTCATAATAATGATGCAGGGTGGGGCTCTACGTTCAGCGGGAAAGGATATACATAAGGGGGCCGTGAAATGCCCGGAAGCCAGGGGAAACTCATCCAAGCGTGACTCGAGTTGTCGGCACTGAACACTGATTTGGTTAGCGGTAGCGGGCATTTAAAGCGATAATTTAGCGATATCGCGGCACAACGGACTTGGCGAAACGCGCCCGCCGGCAGCTTCGAAAGGCCTTGGTATACCTGCTGCGCTTTGGCGAGCCGTAGGGAGGTTAAACGACTGCACGTGAGTTTCCAGCGTTGATACCTGTGATACGTTCACAGGATCGGCTGGGATTGCACGTAGCGTCCGTTCCGGATCATCGTAGCGGTGTTAGCGTGACCGACCGTCAACGACGATGTCGTGTTTCCTCGCGTCTCTCACCGCTCATTCACACTGGAAGCGGATCCGCGTTCGCAAAGCGGTTGCGAACGCGGTTGTATAAAGATACAGTACAATTGCACGCGCACTTGATGTCATCGAGTGCGCGTGCATTTGTACTGGATTTTTATACAACTGCGTTCCGAACCGCTTCGC